TCCGATCGGCAAGCCCTAGGCTCTGTGGTTTAGACCACAACAGCATCCGCATCCCTTGCGTTATATATAGAAATGAGCAAACCAGTGATATTTTAGGGAACAGGCTAGCAGGCGGGGCCCATTACTTACATCATAGGAGCCTACACAACACAAAACACTGTTGCTGTATGTAGATTTTATTTTACTTATTTTTTATCTTATATTTTGGAAATGTACATCCAGTTTTTCCCCCCTTTGATTTTTTTGGGGTCCCCCAAGATAATGGGACCCTAAGCTATAGCTTGTTTGCTTATACGTTAATCAGACACTCATCTTAGGCTCGGGTTGTATACATGTGTAAATAAACGATATATCACAAAGACATCATGGTCTATGTTGTGCCTCATTTCCCAGAAAGAAACACAGACCTTGGATAAGCACTGCTCAGAGATTGGGGATGGCATTCAGCAATACTTTGTTGGTTCAATTAGACAAAAACAACAATATACGTATGAGGAGAGAGGTTTTGTCTTATTTATAGGCTTTGCCCAGAACATGTTTATTCAACTGGGGGTTGGGGAGACACTCCAATAGCATTTCTCTCTCTCTCTTTTTGGGTCTTCACTCAAAAAAGAATAGCAAGCACATTATGAGGAAAGTGTCTGGTTTGCTTTCCTATTCCTTCAAATTCTCTCCCTAATTGCTCAGCTGCTTATATCTAGCAGGGCATTGTTCCGTGGATGATGAATAAAAAAGAAATTTAATACCGGAATACTATTAACTGAGGATCAGTATGGTTCCATGTATGCTTTCAAAAGGATGTACTAAGTTTAAAAAGCCACAAAAGTAGAACGGAAGGATCCCACTGAATTCACTCCCTGTTAAGTGTGCTTAGGATTGCAGACTAAAAAGAGGACCCCCAATTTTCAAGCAAGTCACTTCAAAATAAGGGGGGGGGGGGGCTTGCATGTGTGTCATGCCTTATTTTGAGAGAAGGCCTGAGAACAGGACCTATTTCCATGCCATCCATTCTGAAGGAAATCAGCCCTGAGTGCTCACTGGAAGGACAGATCCTGAAGCTGAGGCTCCAATATTTTGGCCACCTCATGAGAAGAGAAGACTCCCTGGAAAAGACCCTGATGTTGGGAAAGATGGAGGGCACAAGGAGAAGGGGACAACAGAGGACGAGATGGTTGGATAGTGTTCTCGAAGCTACCAGCATGAGTTTGACCAAACTGCGGGAGGCAGTGGAAGACAGGAGGGCCTGGCGTGCTCTGATCCAGGGGGTCACGAAGAGTCGGACACGACTAAACAACAATGAGGGACCAAACTTCTGCGATGCAGGAATCTTTTGCCTAATGTGGGGCTCGAACCCCTAACCCTGAGATTAAGAGTCTCATGCTCTACCGGCTGAGCTATCCCTGTCGTACCCCCGCTCTCCTATTTGTCCGAGGCCTTGCACGGTGCAAATGTACAAGAGGAGTTGCATAACCGTGAGTTTTTAATTGGTGAAGCATGTTATGTGCTCTGCAGTGGCAGCACAAATACTCAGCATTGTAAAGGTGCCAATTGTCCTGCTCGCTTTTGGTCTTATGTGGCACGACGAAAAAGTTGACTATGTAAAACTGGACTTAATCTGGATGGTTCAGTCAAAGGCAACTATGGGGTTGCGGCGCTCATCTCACTTTCAGGCCAAGGAAGCTGGCATTTGTCCACTTTCCGGGTCATGTGGCCAGAATGACTAAACCGCTTGTGGCGCAAGTGGGAACCGTGACGGAAACCAGAGTGCACGGAAACGCCATTTACCTTCGGCCACAGTGGTACCTATTTATCTACTTGCACTGGTGTGCTTTCGAACTGCTAGGTTGGCAGGAGCTGGGACAGAGCAACGGGAGCTCACCCAATCGCGGGGATTCGAACCGCTGACCTTCTGATTGGCAAGCCCAAGAGGCTCAGTGGTTTAGACCACAGTGCCACCCTTGTCCCTGGTGACTATGTACAGAGCTTTAGATGAATGTATGCAAAATTTAGGCCATTGAGGAAAGAACTACGCCTTGAACAATGGAAAAACCGTGAAGTTTACTTGTCTGTCTGTTTCACAGAAACAAAGGGCCATTGGCCTATCTAGCACAGTATTGTCAACACTGGCTGGCAGCATCTCTAGAGAATTTCAGGCAGGAAATTCCAGGGATTGCCCCCAGGACTTTATTTGCTCTATGTCCCTTCCCATTTCACGAGAGAATGTTTTCTCTAAAAGTAGTACATGGATGATTCATCACTCTTGCCCTTGCAGATATGAAAGGAAAAGCTTCAGTCAGTTGCACAAGATCTCGCAAAAACACCCAAAAATCATATTCTTGCAAAAATGATCATACTGAGGAATTTTTATGGGTTTTTTTTTAAAAAAAATCATTAAATAAAAACCCATGTAGACCTTGGTTGACTCTCCAATTAAAAGAAAGCACTATGTGGGTGAAAATCCTATTAGTCACTTACCAGTAGCAGCCAAATGTACAACAGTATTTTTCTGCTCATATGGCTCGCTAAAGTACATTAATCATGGACAACTTTGAGAAATGTTATTGAGAAATGTAGCGTTTGTTTTTTGTACAGCATGGCTCCCAATTCCTCTAATGAGCTGAATAAAACTTCACTTGGAAAGTAAAGATTAGGACAAAACAGGAGTTGAAAACTCATGTGCATGATGAAAAATTCACCCTTCAATGTAAGATTCAAATTACGTCAGAAAATCATACTTATAGTACACTCCCACAAACTCCCTATATATACCCAACTGTCCTTTTTCTACATTAACACTGCCAGACATTTTGTCTTGAGCAGCTGTTCAGCAACACTGGTATATATTAATATCACTCAATTCCTTATTTAACTTACACCAATGAGAGCTAACAGGGCTTTCATGTTTTTAACGCATTTTCCGCGGCTGTAGTTCTTTCAGATCACTTGTGCAAGGCCGAAGGAGGCATTGTGTAAATAGGTTTGTGGAAAACAGCTAAGTGATGCTGATATAAATAATAAAATGCTAAGCTTTTTAAAAATGGTATTCGTCTTCTGTTACAAGTTAGGAGGGAAAAAAATCGTTTTGTCATGCAGCTGGCGAAGAACACTGCTGTACACGTGACCAGTTAATGCATTTTAGTGCATAATGTGGCAATTATTGTCTATACAACTATCCTATTGTGCATGAATAGGAAGTGGCATCATCCTTACAATAAATTGTACGGTAATTAGCCATTTCCCCTCATTTCCTTTCTGAACTCCGATAACACCGAGATATATCATCTGTCTTGCTTATTTGCAAAAGTAAGAACAAACCATCTGTACTGCCACTGTTCTAAATTAGATGGACTGTAATTTTCAGGTCTGTAAAGCAAAGGCTAGGAGGTCAAACCTTGGAATTGTTTGCTGAGGGTCATATTGTATTTAATTTAGGTGCCCTAAGACATTCCGTACATAAAGAAAAACGTGGCAGCTAAACTATTGCCCAGTTTAGAAGCAGAGAAAATACAGTCAACATAATCCAGTTATATAGAGTTTGTTTTAATATATATATATATATTAAAAAACATGCAACCAGTCACAGAGGGATGGATGCTGATTTAGCCACCTGCCACTCTTTCATCCTTTCTGCAGCCCCTCTCAGGTCACTGGCTTCTGAACCCCGACCATATTTGCATATTCCAAATAGAGATCATATTATTCTTTACATAATTACTTATACCAAGGAACAGCAGATGCAACCCGTAATTGACAAAGAGCAACCTTCCCCTCAGTTCCAACTCATTCATTTCTATTTAACTCCTTTTAGCAGCCTGGCTAGCTCAGTCATTAGAGCAAACTCTCACCACCAACACCCTCCCCTCGTTCATCCCCCCGATATTTCTACCAGACATGCTTGGTGAGATGGGTTTCTGCCTGAGGTTAGATCCCCACGCTGAGATAGAACCGAAGCAACACAGAATCATAGAACTGCAGAGCTGGAAGGGATCCAGTGAGCCATGTAGTCCAACCCCAAAGGCTTTGGAGAGAAGACATAAAGTTCACCGCATGTTACAATTTGAGAGAAAATGTAATGAAAATGCTGTACCGACCACGGACAAATTGGCCAAGATGCATACGAATAGCTCAGACGTATGTTGGAGATGTAAAGATGGGGTAGGTACCTTCATGCACATGTGGTGGGACTGTGTGAAAATAAGAGACGTTTGGGATACAATATATAATGAACTCAAAAATATCTTCAAACTTTCCTTAAAAACAAACGAACTGAAGCCTTTCTGTTAGGCATTATGTCCATGAAAATAACAATAAAAAAAAACAACAACAACTAGAACCCTTTTTAAGTATGCAACCACAGCGGCTAGGATTTTAATGGCTAAAAATTGGAAAAGTGATTTGATCCCCACAAAAACCAACTGGCAAGCGAAAATGATAGAATACCTAGAGCTTGCGAAAATGACTGGGAGAATAAGAGGAAAATCAAATCAGAAAGTTATTAAAGATTGGACAATATTCAAAGAATATCTTTATAAGTATTGTGATAATGCAATGCTCCTGACAGACTTAGATTGAATCTTGAAGTGTAAGGAAACCTTAATAACAAAAATTTCTTTTGATAAGCAACACAAAAGAATGATAATAATGAAGTGTGTATAGAATAATAGGGTGTAAAAAATACAGTGAGGCGAGTCGGAAGTTAAAGTGTGTATAATGTCAAAAGATATGTTGTTAGTGTTTACAGTTTGGTTATGTTGTTTATTGTGTTTGTCTATGTTTGATGTAAACTGTGTTTTGTAATAAAGAATATAATAATAATAATAATAATAAATAATAATAATAATAATAATAATAATAATAATATTTAATATTTATAATATTATAATATTATAATATTATAATATTATAATATTATAATATTATAATATTATAGTATTATAATATTAATACTATTATTATTATTATTATTAATAAAAAGCAAATGCAGGAATCTGGCCCATGGTTGTCTCTCAGTGGGCTCAAACCACCAACCTTCTGGTTAACAGCCAGATGCACTGACGCATCAGGCCACCTCGTATTCAGGCGGATTTGAATACCATGAGGTTGAGTGACCAAGGAAGCTGCGGAAAGACCAGGAGTTGCTGTCCTTGCCTGTTGCCATAATTTCAGTGACCCAATACAGTGGCGCGTATGCATAACGAACGGCAGTGAGATGGGAAGGAACACTATTGGGGAGAGTACACTGGAGACAACTGGACAACCCCCTGGGTCCCCTCTGAAATGGTGCTAGTACTGCAACACTGTTGTTGTTTAGTCGTGTCCGACTCTTCGTGACCCCATGGACCAGAGCATGCCAGGCACTCCTGTCTTCCACTGCCTCCCGCAGTTTGGTCAAACTCATGCTGGTAGCTTCGAGAACAATGTCCAACCACCTCGTCCCCTTCTCCTTGTGCCCTCAATCTTTCCCAACATCAGGGTTCCCCCAAGAAGCAGGCGTCTTTTAATTTCGTGACTGCTGTCACCATCTGCAGTGATCATGGAGCCCAAGAAAGTAAAATCTCTCACTGCCTCCATTTCTTCCCCTTCTATTTGCCAGGAGGTGATGGGACCAGTGGCCATCATCTTAGTTTTTTTGATGTTGAGCTTCAGGCCATATTTTTCGCTCTCCTCTTTCACCCTCATTAAAAGGTTCTTTAATTCCTCCTCACTTTCTGCCATCAAGGTTGTGTCATCTGCATATCTGAGGTACTGCCACACACCCCAATGCAAATACAAAATATTTAGCAAGGGTACAGAAAGCAATCTCCATGTCACCAATTCTCCACCCCCCTACACACACACACAAAGTTTGGAAGTCGGTTGCTATAACTGGCTAGGAAATACAACCGCATGGTTTTATTTGTTTGTTCAGGGGCCAAATCACTGAAGAACTGAAGCCAGAAATCAGTGGGGAGGTGAAAGGGCTATATAGGTGGCCCTATATGTAGGAGGCATATGTCCCAAGTCACACGCCATGTTCCACGTACGTGTGTGTGTGTGTGTGTGTGTGTGTGTTTGGATGGAGAGAACAACACGAAACATGGCTCTAAACTCCAAGGATGGAGAAGCTGTGAACTGGCACCGGAGCATGTACCGTATTTTTTGCTCTATAAGACTCACTTTTCCCCTCCTAAAAGTAAGGGGAAATGTGTGTGTGTCTTATGGAGCAAATGCAGGTTCCGCAGCTATCCCAGAAGCCAGAACAGCAAGAGGGATCGCTGCTTTCACTGCAGAGTGATCCCTCTTGCTGTTTTGGCTTCTGAGATTCAGAATATATTTTTTCTTGTTTTCCTCCTCCAAAAACTAGGTGCGTCTTGTGGTCTGGTGCATCTTTTAGAGCGAAAAATACGGTACATTTTGTTTTTAACAAAAAACAAAAACAAACCCAGTTTGGTCAGAGAAAAAGGCAATATATCCATGATAACCGGGACAACAAGACCATTCATTGAGAACAACTAGGCAGCATTGCATTTCTCTGCAAAACTAATTCCCTCTTTCCCCTACTCTATGGATGAAAGCAACAGTAGCATGAAAACGTCCAGTATTTTCTCTCTCTTCAAAATGTGCCGCAGTGCTAGAGCACCCACCTTCTGCGAAAACAATTTTTTAATTAAACATTGTTTAATTGGATGTATCAAAAATTAATTGGAAACCGATTCTGTAGTAACCAACAAAGGGTTTTTGCAGATGGAGAGGAGGAAGAGGTGAAGAGAAGGGAACAACAGTTTACCCACGGTCTGACTCAAAAGATGTGCCAAATGTAAAAACAGAAAGCCAGCATGTACACGCATAGCAGTCTGGCTCCGCAAATATAGTTTCAGTTATGGAGTAGGGGAGGCATTTAGATGCTTATACTCATGATTAACTGAACAAGTGAAATATGGAAGCAAAATGAACTGGTAGCTATTTACCAACTTTGCTCCCATTCTGGCACAGCTGAATACAGTGCTGAGAGCTTTCTGACAACCAATGAGAGATGCGTGGTTAATCACAAAAGACATTACGACTGCCAAAGGTACAATGATAATAAGCAAGCTAACAATAACAGAAAAACAATGGCTACCAGGGATGTATAAGTAACAGAATTTGAGCAGCAAATACTTGGCACTGTTTCATTTTAAGCCTTGCTTTTTTGCTGAAAAACTCTCGCTAACTACTTGAAGTCAGAGAAACCATATTGGAAGGTCTGCTGCCGGCCATCAGATCGTCTCACGAAACCATCTACCCTGCAAGAGCAGCTCAAATTCTGCAACATGTGCAGCAACACACTCAAAGCTACGTGTGCAAGCGGCCTCCAACTCAAGAGATAGAGCTTCAGTGCTGGGCAGCTACTGTTGCGGAAGAACGTATGATTCTACACATACATAAAAAAATGTTTCTGTTTGTTGCAAAGTTCTGTGGCCACTTATGGAAAGCATCTTAGTACGGCAGTAGCCAAGCATAAGCAGTACAGTGGTACCTCCGGTTGCGGACAGGATCCGTTCCGGAGCTCCGGTCGGATCCTGAGGTTTTCGCAACTGGAGGTGCATGTGTGCGGCGTGGTAGAGTGCTTCTGCGCATGCACGTGGCATGGTAGAGTGCTTCTGCACATGCGCGCGCGGTGAAACCCGGAAAAATATGGACTATATGGAACTGGCTGAAATGACTGGTAGAATCCGTGACCAGGGAGAAGAGTCGATGGAGGAAGACTGGAAGAAATTCAAAGACTATCTTCAGAAACACTGCAAAATTAAGGAATGTTAGAGTGATGTTGGAATGAAAACAAGTGGTTTCCAGCTGCACAGGTTAAAGTTATGGAAATTTGATATTAAAAGGGGAAACTTTAAAGTTATATGATATTAAGACCAAGGACTAGGTTTAAAAAAATTGAAGTTATATATTTTAACATTTTACTAAATTAAAGATTGGGATTAAAAAAGTGGAAAAGAAATTGCTGAACAAACAATGTGGACTGGAATACAAAGGAGGGAGGTTTGAGGAAGTCTAGAAAATAAGTCACGTAAAATTGGAAATGGAAAAGAGAGTTTGTTTTTAATTGTTGTGTTTTGTGTTTTTATTGTTAAGTTTTGTATTATTTTATGTGAGTTTTTCTGTTCTTTTTTTGTGTTATGTTGTTTTAAACTTTAATAAAAATTATTAAAAAAAAAAGAAGGAAAAATACTTCCGGGTTTGCCGCATGCGTATCCCGAAGGATATGTAGCCAGAGGTGCGCATAAGTAGAGGTACCACTGTACTTTCATTCTGATGCCTTACTCATCTTCCTAGGTATTCAGGGAAGTTTTTGAAGGTAACAACTTCATTTCCCACCTCTTGCACAGTTCTCCAAATTAATTTGGCATCGCAGCCTGCAACCCTCACTTCTCCAGCTCCACAATCCTCAGCTGTCTTCTGCTCCCTCAGATGACTACCCTTTCCCCCCTTATGAAGAATCACCACCCAGAACAGCTACACTCCAATGATAGCATTGGACTTGTTCTTGGCAGTGATGTGGTAGGTAAAAGGTAAAGGATCCCTGGACAGTTAAGTCCAGTCAAAGATGACTCTGGGGTTGGGGCGCTCATCTCGCTCTATAGACCGAGGGAGCCGGTGTTTGTGCACAGACAGCTTTCTGGGTCATGTGGCTAGCATGACTAAACCACTTCTGGTGCAACAGGACACCGTGACGGAAGCCAGAGCACAAAGAAACGCCGTTTACTTTCCCGCCACAGCGGTACCTATTTATCTAATTGCACTGCCGTGCTTTCAAACTGCTAGGTTGGCAGGAGCTGGGACAGAGCAATGGGAACTCACCCCGTCGCAGGGATTCGAACCGCCAACCTTCTGATCAGCAAGCCAAAGAGGCTCAGTGGTTTAGACCACAGTGCCACTCGCATCCCTGATGTGTTAGTACAGTGGATGCTCGGGTTGCGAACGTGATCTGTGCAGGAGGCACGTTCGCAACCCGTAGCGTTCGCAACCCGCAGTGCCACGTCTGCGCACACGCGGGTCGTGATTCGGCACTTCTGCACATGTGCAAGCACCGAAACCCAGAAGTAACCCGTTCCGGTACTCCCATCTTCGGCGCGGTGCGCAACCTGAAAGCACACAACCAGAAGCGTCTGTAACCCGAGGTATGACTGTATTATGTAGAACTGAACATGCAACTGAACAGCTGTGTTACCCTAAGGCAGATTGAACTTTGCAAACCTCTGGCACTGAATATATGAACCTTCCTATAGGAGAACTGTATGTTGATCTCCGCCAGCAATTTCTAGATCAACTCTGTATCCCTAAATGGAAACCAGAGTTATAGGTCATACATTTTCTATTACTGGGGAATGATCAGGAGCTCACCAAGTTAGTGGCTAAATATCTCTATTTGGTTTTTTTTCGTCGAAGACATCTGATCTCCCTGGAGACCAAGAGATGTGACGATAGACTGCTCTGCCTCCTTTCTTTTAGCAAATGTTTTGTGCCACTGGGGAAGTGGTAATTCTGTACTGATTTGTTTTGGATGTTGTATGTGATGCCAATCAAAGGTTTTACGATACAATATGATCTAGGAGAATTTAGTTTAGGTTGGCACTAGCTAGAAATAGGTTTCACCTCACATTGTCTTGCACAAGGAATAGAAGTCCAGGTACTTTGCCCAAGTGTGTCTCTAAGTTGAATCGACTTCACTAAGGTCTACTGCTTTTATATTTTTGAACTTATTGCCAGAGCCACGAGGAGTACAATTAAGGTACTACCTGGAGGTATTGCCTTAAATAAAGCTCTGTATAATGATCACTTTAAAGGAAGGCTTTAATTTGAAGTACTGGGGGAGCTGTTATCAGTTCCCCACAGCCAGATATACACGTTTCCCCAATTCCAGTTATAACCACTGGTGAATTTCTTCATCAAAACCTGGGGAAAGGTTCAGAAATAAATTTCCAGCTCCCTAAGTTGTAGTTTCGGATCTGATCCTGGTTTGAGACTCTGAGTAGTAAACTGAAAGTAGTAACCCACAATTCTTCATAGAAGGGAAGTCCAGTTTAAGCTCACCACGATCAGCGT